ACTTTTCATTTTCCGTCAGTCTTAGTACACGATGTAACTACAGAAGAGTCAAGTTTTAAATATGAAAAATATAGAAACTCTTTGGTCATTTTTGAGCGAGATGCTAACGGTCTAATCAGATTCAATGATCTATGCTAAGCTACAGCTAAAAGTGCTACCGCCAGACCCGGAGATCGGCTGAATGGATTCGAAAACGGTAAAACTCAACTGTTTAACTCTAGGGGAGTTGGAAAATGAGCCTATTTTCAAAAATAGTGGAGTGTTCCTTTAATGTCATCTTGTGTTTCAGCAAGGTATCTAATACTAGCTAATGTTAAAGTTAGTGAGTCCATGCTAATGTACAAACCTAAATAGCGAACTGTTCTCACGTCATGTACAGTGTAGGGCAAAAACACATAAACCAAGGTCTACATTTCACTGTCTCTTCATATTAAACTGGTTAAATGTAAATTAATATAATCTTACCCTGTGATGCATGAACAGTGTTGAGCTGGGATTTTTTCATCTGCAATCGTGACGACCGTAACGTGAGGCTTCTCCCGCTTGCATTGTGATCTGTAAACCCTCAGTTCCAAATTAATACCCACCATATTTATTTTTAAATCTTTTATATATCCCTCCATGGCATATTTAAGTCCCACTTGAATGGTGGCCCTTCTGTGTCCAAACTTTATCAAAAACATATAGGGACAAGGTTTTCACACTGACAGCTCTCATTGTAAGATAGTGAGCAACTAGCAACAAGTTTGTTTGGCCGAGTTCGCAACAGTAACTAAGGGGGCGGGGCTTACTGATAGGTCAATTCTGTGACTGTAGGCATATTTTGACTTTAGCATGAAAATGCTGTTTTAAAACACTCTACTATTGCTATTCTTCTTCATTTGTCTTTTGTCTTAAGATCAAAGCCATTTGCATCTTTCTCATTTGGCATCATTGGCTGTGTAATTACTTATTTGCATCACTATTTGCTCAGGGTGAATGTGCTCTCATCCTAGTGTTCATTTATCATCATTTACAGCCGCTGTAGACAGACATGTGAAGTACAGTTGCCTTTATGAACTTGCGTGTATAAGTGGTGACTCATATGTATGAAATAATTTTTTTCTGAAGGGGTTTATGAAGAGAATAGAGGAGAAAGGAGTTCCTGATGATATGAATGGAAAAGATAAGATCGTCTTTGGAAACATTCACCAAATCTACGACTGGCACAAAGAGTAAGCGCCTCAGATTCTCTCAGCTCCTCTTATTGAAAAAAGACTAATATGGAACTAATTTAACATTTATTTGCTGTCTGAAGTTTTTTTGTTGGCGAGCTGGAAAAATGTCTTGAAGATCATGAAAAACTGCCTGGGTTGTTCAGTAAACATGTGAGTATGTGACTGACATCAAGTCTGATGCGTTAGCCGTGTAAAGGCATTGCTCATGAAGTGTTTCGCTTCTATGTGTTTAGGAGAGAAGACTGCACATGTATGTGGTTTACTGCCAGAACAAACCCAAATCTGAATTCATTGTTGCAGAATACGATTCATACTTCGAGGTAAGACACAATTTATATTACTGCAATAGAGTGCTGCAGTGATGACAGAAGTTAACATTACCCTGGTTCCCTCCACAAAAACCCAATAGGATTTTTTTCCACTGGCTTTTAGATTATTGCAGTAAATAAGCTCTGTGACCAAAAAAAGTTACTCAAGAGGATAATCTTCACAAATGAACGCAAATTTAATGAATATTGTAGCCTAAATACAATCAGCAAAAGTAAAAGCTAATGTTATATACAAGTTGTATACAGACTACACTACAGTCACTGACACTTACAGTAGCTACAGACAACTTCTTCAGTCTTTATTTAGAACATTAAATAGCGAACTGTTCTCACGTCATGTACAGTGTAGGGCAAAAACACATAAACCAAGGTCTACATTTCACTGTCTCTTCATATTAAACTGGTTAAATGTAAATTAATATAATCTTACCCTGTGATGCATGAACAGTGTTGAGCTGGGATTTTTTCATCTGCAATCGTGACGACCGTAACGTGAGGCTTCTCCCGCTTGCATTGTGATCTGTAAACCCTCAGTTCCAAATTAATACCCACCATATTTATTTTTAAATCTTTTATATATCCCTCCATGGCATATTTAAGTCCCACTTGAATGGTGGCCCTTCTGTGTCCAAACTTTATCAAAAACATATAGGGACAAGGTTTTCACACTGACAGCTCTCATTGTAAGACAGTGAGCAACTAGCAACAAGTTTGTTTGGCCGAGTTCGCAACAGTAACTAAGGGGGCGGGGCTTACCGATAGGTCAATTCTGTGACTATAGGCATATTTTGACTTTAGCATGAAAATGCTGTTTTAAAACACTCTACTATTGCTATTCTTCTTCATTTGTCTTTTGTCTTAACATCAAAGCCATTTGCATCTTTCTCATTTGGCATCATTGGCTGTGTAATTACTTATTTGCATCACTATTTGCTCAGGGTGAATGTGCTCTCATCCTAGTGTTCATTTATCATCATTTACAGCCGCTGTAGACAGACATGTGAAGTACAGTTGCCTTTATGAACTTGCGTGTATAAGTGGTGACTCATATGTATGAAATAATTTTTTTCTGAAGGGGTTTATGAAGAGAATAGAGGAGAAAGGAGTTCCTGATGATATGAAAGGAAAAGATAAGATCGTCTTTGGAAACATTCACCAAATCTACGACTGGCACAAAGAGTAAGCGCCTCAGATTCTCTCAGCTCCTCTTATTGAAAAAAGACTAATATGGAACTAATTTAACATTTATTTGCTGTCTGAAGTTTTTTTGTTGGCGAGCTGGAAAAATGTCTTGAAGATCATGAAAAACTGCCTGGGTTGTTCAGTAAACATGTGAGTATGTGACTGACATCAAGTCTGATGCGTTAGCCGTGTAAAGGCATTGCTCATGAAGTGTTTCGCTTCTATGTGTTTAGGAGAGAAGACTGCACATGTATGTGGTTTACTGCCAGAACAAACCCAAATCTGAATTCATTGTTGCAGAATACGATTCATACTTCGAGGTAAGACACAATTTATATTACTGCAATAGAGTGCTGCAGTGATGACAGAAGTTAACATTACCCTGGTTCCCTCCACAAAAACCCAATAGGATTTTTTTCCACTGGCTTTTAGATTATTGCAGTAAATAAGCTCTGTGACCAAAAAAAGTTACTCAAGAGGATAATCTTCACAAATGAACGCAAATTTAATGAATATTGTAGCCTAAATACAATCAGCAAAAGTAAAAGCTAATGTTATATACAAGTTGTATACAGACTACACTACAGTCACTGACACTTACAGTAGCTACAGACAACTTCTTCAGTCTTTATTTAGAACATTGGAAAGTTTGAGTTAGTATAGTTGACAAGAGCATGATTGTGAACACAAGAAGGCTGTAAAAGTGAACTAGTGTGTGGATGAGTTCAGTGTGACTTCTGTAGTCCCCTTGTTTGGGACAAGTAACATTAACTCTGGGACAATGGAATCCGGATTTCATGGGAGTTGGGACTCTATAAAATCACTCTAAAATGAAAAAACAAACAATTAATCATTGCAAGTTTAAAATCGTGTGTCTGTTTTGGTTCAAAGGGGATTCAACAAGACGTCAACTCAAGACTGAGCATCAGTGATTTTCTCATTAAACCCATTCAGAGAATTACTAAATACCAACTGCTACTAAAGGTATAAAGGCTGTGATCGATGGTGAATAATAATGTTTTATTAATGTGTGTAATTTCTAATATAATTCATTTGTTAATATTTTTATCGCTTAAGGACTTCCTGAAGTACAGCGCAAAGGCAGGGTTGGAGTGTCAGGATATAGAGGTAAAAATGAAGCTGAAGTACATGTCTTAAATAATAAAACAATCGTCAGTCATAAACTGAGGGTAATGCATTTTTGGTTTTTGTGAAGTTTGTTAAAGCAGCTTGTGATACAGGTTTCTGTTGGTTTTCTGTGTAACAGAAAGCAGTAGACCTGATGTCCCAGGTGCCCAAGCTGTGCAATGACATGATGAACCTGGGAAGACTGCAGGGATTTGAGGTACACTGAAAACTTCACTGTACTCGTTCCGAAGTTTCATCAAAGCAAGCGTACTGAAAATACATTGTAAAAGGTTACAGTGATTTCACCAGTCGTCAGTTACTCACCTTCATCTTTGAAACACAAATGGAAATATTTGAATGAAACTTGAGCGATTTCAGTCTCATTGTCAAGGTTTGTCACATGCATACACTCTTAAAAATAAAGGTGCTTTAAAGGTTCTTCACAGCGATGCCATAGAAGAACCATTTTTGGTTCCACAAAGACCATTCAGTCAAAGGTTCTTTAAAGAAGCATCTCTTTCTTAAATTTTTATAATCTGAAGAACCTTCTTTCGCTACAAAGAACCTTTAGTGAAACCGAAAGGTTCTTCAGATGTTAAAGGTTCTTTATGGAACCATTTAGACCAGGGGTGCCCAAACTCGGTCCTGGAGGGCCGGTGTCCTGCAGAGTTTAGCTCCAACCCTAATCAAAC